CTCCAATGGAACCGCACCACAATCCGGCCTTCACAGAAACGGCCCCTAGGGTGGGTTCTCTCCTGCTAAGTGTTCGGAGAAGTATGTCTCAGTCGGACAGACACGCCCTATACCCAATGGGTGGTAGACACCCCATGCAGGAGAGTCCAGAACCTAACTGGCTCGTCCCTCAGCTGGTGGCCAAAAGCCCCGACCTGGTATTAGAGCCCTATCGTCAATTCTACCTCATGTTCCCTCTTAGATACTAGCTTCTCCATTGCCAACTGCACCTTTCCTAATGGCACCGGTAACCCCCTCCATGCACTCCCGGCCCTTCGTACTATATGGGATAACTTAAACTCCACCCTGAGCACCCACTGGGCAGCACCTGATGGCTTATTCTGGATCTGCAGCAAACGAGCATACTCCCATCTCCTCTCCAACTGGACCGGGAGCTGTGCATTTGGTATAATCCAGCCTGGTTTCTTCCTCCTTCTTAACCAAACTGGCCAACAGCTAGGCATCCCCTTACACCAGGATTTGCATTAAAGCCCAAAAGGTCCCTTGAAATGGGGGGGCATCAACTCTGGGTGGAAGATGAATGGCCTCCCCAGCGGATCATCCAATATTATGGCCCAGGTACTTGGGCTCAAGATGGGAGTTTGGGATACCATACCCCCATTTACATGCTCAACCGTATTATCAGATTACAGGCTGTTCTAGAAATAATTACCAATGAAACTGCAACAGCTTTAGAGCTCCTCACTACCCAACAGACCCAGATGCAGGCCGCTATTTATCAAAACCGCCTAGCACTGGACTGTCTAGCTGAAGAAGATGGCGTCTGTGGCAAATTTAATCAGTCGGACTGTTGTCTACAGATTGACGACACTGGCAAAGCTGTCTCCGCTATCACCACGAATATTAGAAAACTTGCCCATGTCCCAGTTCAAAAATGGTCAGGATGGGACCCCGAGAGCCTATTTGGAGGATGATTCTCCACCCTTGTGGGATTTAAAACCTTAATTGGAATCGTCCTCCTGCTCCTTGGAGCATGCCTCCTTTTACCCTGCATTCTTCCCCTTGTCATTCGTTCTGCCTCTTCCCTCACAGAGACCATTGTAGAACGTAAAACTGTCACTAAGGTCGTCATGCTATGGAAGTACCAACCCCTAGGCCAGCAGCCTGTTGAAGGAAGTGATGCTCTCTAACCCACGTATGGATGGGTTCGAGCATCAAAGGGGGGAATGAGGCAGTGGGCCCTAGTCAAAGGCCTTCCCAGACCATGTGGTCAGTAAGGATTTCACGCTGTACTGGGAAGCTTCAGACAAAAACATTCCTGGACTACATGGTCATTAAGACGTCCACGTTTAATATTTCTGAATTACTATCTCATCCAGGAGCCAGTCAGGAACTGGCACAATGGCCACACGTCCTAATAATAAATCTTAGCTGCCAACCTGGAAACCTCAGGATATAAAGCCCCGAGTCCCACCCGGGTCGGGGCTCAGCCTCTGGATGTAAATCCGCTGAGTCTGTGCCCACATTAAAAAAGTTGTTTCCCAAGCTTGGTGTCCTGTCTCTCCATCTGAGTTTCCCGCAACAGTATTTTTACATATATTTTATGCACCTATATAATAAAACACTAGAAAAATAATAAAGAAAATAAAGGGCCGGCTGAGTGGCTCAGTTGGTTAAGAGTTGGCTTGGGAGGGCAAGCTCTGAGGAGCAGGGCCTCTGGTTCGGTTCCCACATGGGTCAGTGATGTTGCGCCCTCTAAAGCTAAGATGGTGAACAACAGCTCAACTTGGAGCTGCGCTGCCATGAGTGGCTGGCGACAGAGTAGGCTGCAGCCCCTGCTGCAGTGGGCTGCCGTGAGCTACCCTGAGTGGCCGGCAGCCGGCGTAAGCGGCCGGCAGCCAGCGAGAGCTGCCATGAGCAGCCGTGAGTGACTGTCCAATGGCCGGCGACTGACAGCCTCAGATGGGAAGAGCACAATAATCATGATACCAACATGAACCAGTGAAGCCGCATCCCCCACAACTAGACTGAAGAACAAAAGGACAACAATTTGGCTGTTCCCTTTCACTGATTCCCCAACGCTGTTCCCCTCCCCCAATTCCCCAATAAAATCTTTTAAAAAAACAAAAACAAAAGAAAAATTGCTATTTTTATCAGGGAAAGAATGGAGTAGAGGGATTGGGGTGAGAGCGGGACTATACTTTTTCATACATTTTGCATATATTTCATATGTTTTGACCTACTACCTATTTTTAAAAAAACTAAAATTTGATTTTAAAAATGTAAATGAAATATGGTTATTGATTCTAAATAAATTTAAATCGGAACTCGGAAATTACTCAACCTCCAATGCATACAGAGATCACTTAAATAGTGCTTAATTATCTGTTTTTCTAGCATATTACAAAAATAATGTAGAAAAAAATGAACCAAAGTCAGGAGCCAGAAACACTATCAGTGAATAGGAGAGTGGTCTGAGACAATCCAGTGTAACGGCTGAACATATACCACAGTCCCTTAAAAAAACATCAGCAAATCACAGCAGTTTAAAGGCTGGTTAAATTCAGCAAAGACATGCTTGGTCCCTACTGTGTACTGTGTTCAGAGAACGCAAAAGATGATTTTCAAATAAGAAAAAAAGAAATTCCCACCTTCAAGAAATCTGAGGCAAGAACACTTTGTAAGCTTTATGTAAGTTTTTGGAAAAGAATATGATGCCACTGGAATACAGATGTACACAGAAGAAAAACCATGGTGGGGGCAGAAAGGGAAGAGAAAAAATTAGTAACTTTAGGGGCTGCTAGGGCTAAGAGAACAATCAATAAGTGAGTATACTGTTTGGAGGGATTTTGCTTTTGAAATTACTACTTCAGAATAGAAATTAAAAGTCTAATTATGTGAAAGACTATACTCTTCAACAATAACTAATAAATGAGACCTGATTAAAATTAATATTTTATGCTAATATATGCTATAAGTTTACATTTATCTGGACTTACAGTTAATCTGTACATATTAATAAACACAGACCTACTGAACTGCATGTTTCGAATAAATGGAATAAAATCTTTCAGAGAAATTTGAAAGAATAGTTCCACTATACACCTAAGTTACTAAAATAAATGATTTGTCCCAATTTTTCCAGAATTTAAACACTAATTATTTTTGACAATACAGTAGCAGTTATGAGTTAAATATAGATTGTCCTAACCTATAAAATTTAAAAGCACACACAGCAAAGACAACAGATTTGATTAACTCTTAGGAAAAAAGTATTCAAATAATTCCATAAAAAGCATTTGGTATATTATTTAGTGTGTCCCCATAAAGACAACCTATAAAAGATATCCATAAACTATATTAAAGTATTAAAGCCTTTTTCAGAGAATATAAATAATGTGGAGGTGCAAACCATGTGGGCAGCAAAGGAATAGGTAAAATAAAAAGAATCCGACCAGTAGCTAGAGTGTAATAACTACGTGACAGCATCACTCCTCAGAGTCACATCACTGGCCTTCCCTAAAGGCCCCCTCACTGGTCCAGGTCCTCCCAATAAGCCCTCCACAGCCTCAGAGGACCTGAGTGCAGTGACCTCACGCCATCGTCATGGCGTGAGGGTCAGTCCCCTGGAGACATACTCACCTGTCGTAAAGTCAGACACAGGAATTCTACTCTCTCAGTATAAGTTGTCCACGTTGTTTAAGAAATAAAATGGAAATGTATGTGAAGCCGTTATAAAGACTATGAACAGCCCTCACTTACTGACTATTAGCCATGCTTTACATACACTGAATCCAACAGGCTGGAGGTGGCACTGGACAGGCGGATGGTGTCACTCGCATTTGACAGGTGTAAAAACAGACACTAAACACATCAGCACCTGGCAGCTGAAGAGTATAATTTTACTATCTTTGGTTACCAAACTGGGGCTAAAACTAACCCTTGCAGGTATGTTACATTACAACAAAAGCCAAAATGAACTCATTTACACTGAATGTTCCTACATACCGTAAAATTCTGCAATATTTTAAAGTGGAAGCCACAGAATGTGAAGCTTGAAAAACTGAGAACCCTTAAGAATGAAATTGAAGAAAATAACTTTCACAACTAAGACACCTCGAAAAACGTTCTGTCTAGAAATATATCCCCATGTTCTCAGCATCGTTCTAGGTACACTGTAAATGCTCACTAACTGGTTAGTGAATAAAAATACTGTATGTCGTTCCCTCAAGCATTGATTACCTCAAAGGCATTATCCCACTTGTATTTTTACTGAAAAAAAAAATGTATGCTTCCATAAAGTTCTACCTCCATTTGCTTATTGAATTATTAGTATTTTTATACTGTTATTATTAGTAGTTATTAGTATTTTTTATCTTAATCATCCACATTTTTACTAGTTGAAACAGATTCATTCAATCTCATAGCTTAGAAATATTTACAAATATGGAAAATGCAAGACAACTTAATTTTTAGCTTTTGGTAATGTAGTACAAATGGAAGAAAAAAAAAAAAAAAACACTTACCTTCCACTGATGCAGATACCGATTTTAAAATACATTCTATGGATCCACACACTTAAGGGGGCACTACTCCAAACACAAGCCTTCAAAGACAATGTCTATACTTAACACTTTGTACTAGAGCAACTAATGTTGGTCAATTTATTGCTAGTCATAGTATTTTTTGAGCCAATAATAAAAACAAAGCACACTATTGTGGGTAGGAAACCCAATTTTTCCTTCTCAGCTGATCTTTCATCAATATTATGCATGTATTACCAATATTTTAATGGCTCAAATTATTTTTTCAACTTCCAAAACTTCCTAATACAGACAAAGCATCTTTTTTCTTGTAAACAAGTAAAACAAAACAAAAAAAACAAAGAGGAATTGTTGGTAATGGAATTCAAACCACAGAAGACTTTATGATGGAAAATAGGCTATTACTGAGGAAAAATTAGACTACAGTTTATTTTATAATAAAATTGATTTACATACCAGCACAGAATATCCCTGGGACTTCACTCCTGACTATTACGGTCCGTACTTTCTTATCAGATTTTAAAGCGTCCACAGCTTTTGAGAGCTAAACAGAAACAGGGAGGGTAAGAAGAAAAAGAAAATTTTTTTCAGATTGATGTCGACACTATAGCTTAATATTAGAAGCAAACAGTTTAATCTTTACACTCACCATTTTTACAAGATTTTTACTGAATGAATTTTTGGCATAAGCTCTGTTTATTCCAAGCACCACAATTCCTAGTTAAGAAAAAAAAAAAGTACAAGCACTTGAGTTAGTGAGTTTTCAGGGTACAGACTCCCACACATACAGCTATTTAACTCGGGATTTAGGAAATCTACCATCTCTTTGAGGTTCACTCCAACAGCTTTATCCTTATTTTCGTTTTTACCTTAGTTTTCAAAATAAGCATGTTTTTAAAGAATGTGGTACATGACACATATTTATAAAATCAATCTTCTGCTTAATATTCACCACTTTTCTTCAGATTGTTAGAGAGCTTTATAACATCACGTCCCCTCAATTTACCTCTTCTTAAGCGCCACCAAGGTAATCTGGCATATTTAAAATTTACATCACTAAATCAGACTAAGAAGGAAGGCCATGCTTAACAATGAAAATTCTCAATTACAGGACACTATTTACAATGTAGTTTCATCACCTTTGAGCAGACAGAAGAGCTAACAAATCCTTGTCACAGTCCAGTATTGCAGGATCAGTTTTTTTGCTAGTATGCTAGGTATTAATATCTCAGTTATTCTTTGTCACACTAAATAGTTTTCAATATTTCCATCCAAAGTTTCTCTCCTCTGTTGCACACACTTAACCTGAAGGAACTTCCATTTACAAGTCCAACAAGCAATTCAACCTCAATCTACAGAAACAAAGTTCATTCTATTCCCACAAAGCCTAGCTCTCCTTCCTAACTTCCCTAATTTTATCAGAGACTATCATTGAAATGCAGCATCCCACTCCAATTGCTGCAATTTTCCAAAAACAATTCTATGCATAGAATTCACCCCTTGCTTAGAATCCTTTATTTCTAAAATATCTGAGTTCAGAGATCTTAACTTGCTTTTCAAAGCCCTATACAACCTGTACTCAGCCTTCTTGTTCCCTGAAGAAGCACATGCATAAGTATTTCTGATAGGTCTCAAGAAGTGAAATTCTAGGTCTGGACATTCTTAATTTTAACAGATACTCCTCCAAAATACTGTCCCTATTTACTGCCCAGCCAAACACCAATACCTATTTGTTCACAGTAGCAGACTCAGTAGAATGAACCAGCTCATAAGACACATTTGGAAAAGGAACATTGTGTGCTGTCACCATGGTTAGATCCAGGTATTGGAGGGCCTGAAGCTTATAAAATTTAGGGAGCCTTTGTATGTAAAAGAATACAAAATAACACAGATAAAATTAGGGACAAATGTGAATATTAAAATCCTCAGAATTTTAAAAAGTTAAGAAATTTTCCCTCCAATTACGTGTTTAACCTGCACAAAGACACTTCCTTCCTCATATATTTGAATTTTTTTTTTAAGGTTTTATTATTGGGAAACCGGGGAAGGGGAACAGACAAGTTGCTGTCCTTTTGTTCTTCAGTATAGTTGTGGAGGACGTCGCTTCACTGGCCCATGTTGGTTGGTATTATCATTCTGCGTTCTTCCCGGGTGAGGCAGTCGCTCGCCGGCCATTGGACAGCTGCTCACAGCAGCTCACGGCAGCTCATGAAATCTCACGCCCACTACTGGCCAGCCCCACTGCAGCCTGCGTGTGCCATAGCCAGCGACTCACAGCAGCCCAGCTCCAGGTCGAGCTGTTGTTCACCATCTTAGCTGTAGAGGGCGCAGCATCACTGGCCCTCAATGTGGGATCCGAACCGGGGCCCTGCTGCTCAGAGCTGGCGTCTCAAGCTAACTCCTAACCAACGCGCCACTCGGCAGGCCCTGAATTTTTATATTATCAAAAATTCTGAAAGAATATACAAAATTAACCTGATATTAAGATCAATTCAAATACATTTTTAAACTTCCTCTACATTGCACTCAGACAACTGTGTCAACAAATTATTCTTACATTCCACACATTAACTTATTTAGAAAGATGTAAGGAATTAGGTCACTGAAACTCAGCTTCTTCAGGCCATTTAAGAGTATCTGTGGCAATTCTGTGTGCCACTTTGTATGGAACCACCAGGCTGTGTTAGACAAGACGCGTGAGGTACATTAGCACTGGGTGGCATAAAACTCAGAACTCCACAGACAGACACACGTGCTCTCTCAAGTACAAACTTGTTGCCCTAAAATCAGAGGGAGTCTGATAAATTCTGTTTCAAATGCTGCCCATCAAGAGAAAAAAAAATAATAAGTAGGGTAAGTCTAATTACATTCACTGAATTTTCAAATATATTACTAAGAGAGAACTTCCATTTGACTTGGCATCAATGGGAACTGAATCTTAAAATTCACTATGTCACTACCCTCTCCCATTTAGAGAATTATTTTGACTCAAAGTTATAATAATAAGTAAGAAACAGCTCATTTGTGAGAATATCACTTTTGCTGACAGTCTAAAATTTATCTTGGTATGTTACTTGTTCTTCAATTCAGGCTACTGTCTCAGTCTCTTCCATACAAATAAGTTTAGTCTGTTATTACTAACCCAGTATTAGTTTTTATTCCATTAACTACTAATACCATGTTTTTTATTTTCCTCTACTTCCTGTGTAGAATGGCTTCTCGTCTTCTTACTTCTCTTAAATCCTAACTTATTTATATTTTAATAGTCACAGCAGAAAACTTACATACTGAAATTAAATATTTTACCATAAATTACCTTTTGTTTTCAATATTATATTTAGGGATTTTATTTTAATTATGTACAAAGGCAACTTATATTATCTGTACATTTAATTCCAGGTCAGTAGAGGGGGCCTCATAAAATATGTTAATAAGAATCACTGGTCTACCATTCAACATTAAATATTATAAATCTCTGGTAATACATGAGGAAATGTCATTTTCTATCAGGTTTTACCCAATTTTCTGAACTAAAGTTGAGTTAATTAATAAGCTTAATGACCATTTGTCATTTCTTTTGTGAATTAACTGTTCTTATTGTTTGCCTATCTTGTCACTGAGTTGTCTTTGGCATTTTGATTAATAATTTTTTAAATTACAGGTATTAATTCATTATTTGCATTACAGGTCTTTTTCCTATCATTCACTTTTTAAATTCAACTTGTTATAATATTTTGTTGCACCAAAGTTTTAACTTTTTACGTAGTGCACCTTTGCCTCTGTAACTTTTGGGCTTAGTGTCTTCCTTAAAAAGGATTTCCAATGAAAACATATGTCCATAAAAAAACTTGTACCAGAATGATCAAAGAAGCATTATGCAAAATATTCAAAAGATGAAAACAACCCAAATGTCCATCACCTGATGAACTGTATATCCATGTAATGTAATATTTGGTAATAAAAAGTAAGAAATTACTGATACATGTACAACGTGGATGAACCTTGAAAACAATATGCTAAATGAAAGAAGCAAGTCACAAGGGAGTACATATTGTATAATTCCATTTATGTGAAATGTCAAGAATAGGCAAATCAAAAGGGACAAAGTAGATTAGTGGTTGCCTAGAGTTGGCAGGGATAGAGGAACTGAGCAATGACAGCCAAAAACTGTGGAGTTTCTTTTGGGGGCAATGAAAGTATTCTATAATTGATTGTGGTGATGGATGCACATCTCTGTGAATATACCAAAAACCATTAAATTGTACCTTTTAAATGGGACAATTTTATAGTATATGAATTATATCTAAATGAAGCTGTTAAAAAAAAAAACCATGGCAACACTCACTTAGACGCAGGCATATAGCCAAATTACCACAGAACCATGGAGTGAGGATGGGAGCAAAAGAGAAGGTACAAGTGTGTGGTGGAGTGTGCTGTGGGTGAGAGAGGGCCAAAGCCTCATCCTCCATAGCAAAAACAGCCAATAGATAAATAATAGCTAGATTTGAAAATTCTATAAGTAGAAATACATGTCTACAATTTAAAATGTGGTGTATGGGCCCAAAAGAATCAGCCAAAAGGGTTTTAAATAGTTGCTTCTGGAGTATAGGAAATGGGATGAAGGAAATGCACTGGTTCTCAAAACAAACCTTATTAAACATTGGTCACAATACTAATTGCATTGGTAATTAAGACAGGTAAAACTAACAAATTAAAATAAAATACAGGATTTTTCTACCCTAATGATTACAGACAAATTTATAATACTTTCTCCTCTAACACTGAATACTTTCATTTCTGCTGTTCTCTACTCCACAAGACTCTTAACTTCATTTTACCTAAAATGCATAAACAGTTTGGCCAGCACCATTTATTAAATAGCCCACTGTTTTTCTTCTGGTTTCAAATACCAAACAATTGTATACAAAATACCTTTAAAAATCACGTTCTGGATTCTTCACTGTTTTACTGTAAAGTTCTTAGTCTACTGCTATTTTAATGCTCTCTGCTGCTTTAATTATTAACTGTATGTTATGTTTTGTTATATAATTTAGGGTAAGCACCACTCCCAACAGTTATTATTTTTCAAAATGTCTTTTTCTTACATTATTCTTAAATACATCTCTTTCAGATTAAATTTAAAATAAACCTGTTAGGATATTCAATGGGATTACATTAAATTTGTTGTTTAACATTTAGAAAACTGACATTAAAACAGTATGTCTTTCCCTTTAGAATATGGTATAATGCTCCACATTTTCAGGTCTTGGTTTTTTTCATCAATACTTAAGAGTCTTTTTCATACAGCTCTTGCACATATCTTCAAAGGCTACTTCTTGCTCTTGAGAATGCTTTTATTTCTATGTTATATTTTCTAATCACATATTGATAGCATTTGGGAAGGTTAGTAATATTTTACATAACCTTTTTTCTGGCAAATTTATGAACTGTTAATAGGTTTAATACGTGTTTCTCTTCAATTTTATAAAGAGGTGACGCATCACTATCCAGAAATACTGGCAGTTTTATTTTCTATTCCAATGTTAAGTTCTCATTTCCTTCTCTTGCCATTTTTACTTTAGCTAGAAATTCAAGTCTAATACAGAATGTTAGCAAGAATAACAAGTTCCTTTATTTTGTCAATGCCTTTAATGACAATGCCTTAGTATTTCACCATTTAGTATAATGTTTGCTATACATTTTCAATAGCTTTTTGT